TGTCGTGTCACTACAAATTCATCAGGTTAATGTACATAACCAGAGATTCTGTGGCCTCAAACTTAAATTAGTTTGGTTATTTTATATAATTTCTGCAGGGTTTTAATGTGATGTGAAGCGCGGCGGTGGCAGCATCATGACGCGAAGCATGGTGGTGGCGGCATCATGACGTGAAGCGCGGCGGTGGCGGCATCATGACGCGAAGCGCGGTGGTGGCGGCGTCATGACGTGAAGCATGGCGGTGGCAGCATCATGACGTGAAGCGCGGCGGTGGCAGCATCATGACGTGAAGCACGGCGGTGGCAGCATCATGACGTGAAGCGCGGCGGTGGCGGCATCATGACGCGAAGCGCGGCGGTGGCGGCGTCATGACGTGAAGCATGGCGGTGGCGGCGTCATGACGCGAAGCGCGGTGGTGGCGGCGTCATGACGTGAAGCATGGTGGTGGCGGCGTCATGACGTGAAGCGCGGCGGTGGTGACGTCATGACGTGAAGCGCGGCGGTGGCGGCGTCATGACGTGAAGCGCGGCGGTGGCGGCGTCATGACGTCATGTTTATGTCACATGTTTGGGTTACTGATTAGTTAGAATTTGTATTTGTGTAATTTGACATTTGTTTTAGTGTAACTTTGCTCGTTGTTGTTGTTGTTGTTGTGGACTGACTGGACTCTATAGTTGCATCTCAGCTGATCAGAGGCTGTTACAGACTCTGCTAACCCTCACACTAACAGACCGTCATGTTGTCCTGGAGGCTCTGCTACGCTGGTTAGCTGGTTAGTCAGTAGTTCTAGTTGTACTCAGCTGGTCGTACGTGTTTTATTGATATTCGCTGATTCGTGGGCGACTCTCTGCTCCGACCAGCTTCCTCTGCTGAGGAATGAATCCTCCCTTCCTGAGACACTGACAGAAACATTCCTCAGCAGGTTACGTCATCAGAAAACTTCTGTTGCTCATATTTATTATGCAATGTTTTCATTTATCATTCTGCTTCACCAGAAAGTCCTCCTGTAGATTAACACATGTCCTGTTCAGTGTTGCACTCAGCAGCAGCAACAATCACAGAGAATAGCTGAAAATATGTCAGGAATGTGTTCTGGTGGTCGTGGCTGCAGAGGAAGAAGCAGCTGATGGAACAACTGATGGATTGACTGTAGCAGCAGGTTCTGTGGTGGTGGTTAGAGTACGTAGTGGGACGTCTTTGTGTGTCTCAGCATCATTATAAACACACATTATGGCTGTTTACCGGCTCTAGAATCCGGTTTGTGATGAGAAACGGGCCCATTGTTTGATCGTTGGTTTAAATGATAACGGAACGACACCTAACAAGAAGAAAGGCTGATTTTCTAAGTTAATGGAAGAAAAATGGGTCAGTTGTCTCAGAAAAAAACGTGAAGTGAACCCGTTTTTTCATTGTTGGTTTGAAACAGAAAAACCAAAAACCAGGCTGTGTTTTTTATTTGATAAGTTAAGTTAATGGATAATAGCAGGAATATGGGTCTGCTTTTTAATTTTAATTATTATTTTTTAAATTGTTTTAAAAAAAAAAAAGGATCCAAGTTTGTTTAAACTGGACGAATGTGAGCATCTGGATGGAGCTCCATCCCACATAGAGCCTGAGCTACGTGAACACATGATGAAATATTCGTTTATTACTTAGATCGGTGCGTTTCGTTGTTTCCTACATGTAGGTAACGTATCATATTACAGAGTTCCTTATCGCTGTCAAATACCGTCAGCGTGCACGAGTGCTAACGCCACAAAGAAGCCGCGGAAATGAGTTGTGTCATCAACGTGTCACTGCCAGCCAATCCTGTCCCGTGATTCGCGTCATGTGGTCGCAACACGCCGCCTTTGTTTACGTATAATGACCCAAGGCGTGAGGCGACCGATTTCATGCAGATGGTCACAAATAAAGAACGGGCCCATTGTTTGATCGCTGGTTTAAAACCGAAAAATTAAAAATGAAATGACATCAAACCAGAAACCAGGTTTTCCGTTTAATGTTCATAGAAACAGCTGTTGTCCAGTTTGTCAGTGTTGGTTCAAAGCAGAAAAGGATGTTATACCAAACTAAAGAACAGGATGCTTCCAAGTGGTTTTCACTGTTAATGGGCAATTAATAAAATAAAGTAAAATAAAATATAATAAAATAAATTTAAAAATTGCTGTTCTGTAGTTTGTCTTGTTGGCTTAAAATTTAAAAAAAGAAAAATGAGATTCCAGCAGACCCACCACCAGCCTGTGTTTGGTTTCACTTTAATGGATAAGAGTTAAAAAAAAAAAAGGAGAGGAAGTGCTTTCTAATGTTTGGCATTTGATTAAAACCAGATTGTTCTGTAGTACTCGGATACTTTAAACCACCACAGAAGAAGACACGAGTAGAACATGTAGTTCAGTTACAACGCTGTCGAACTTCAGACTTCACGTTCAGGTTCTGTCCAACAAGCCTAAACATCTGATGTTCTGACTTGGAGATGTCCTCCATGAACAAGAAGAAAAACCTGATCTGCTCTGTTTTCAGGTACATTTGATCCAAACATCCCAGAGGAGGGACCTTCAGCGCCCCCTCCTGGCTGGCTGGACGACATCCATGGATACCAGGGCCACCAGGGAGGAGGTGGGTCGTCTTCCTCTGCTCTCACTTTCTTCTGTAATATTCCCTCCCTTCATCTTCTCCATTCCTGTGTTTGGTCCAGAGGGTGACAACCCGTTGTATCCTCCTCCACCTGCCTACAACCCCCAGCCTGAACTCAACCGCAACACGCTGGTTCCCAACGTCAGGTACCAGTCGCCACCTGGGCTCTGCCTTCATTAGCATGGGCTCTTACTGAGAGAAAGGTTACCATGATGTGCTCCTCCAGGGTTCCCACGGTGTCGGAGGACGTGGCCAGAGACGCCCTCATCAAGTTTGTGGAGTCTAAGTGGAGGTACAGCTCCAAACCTGCCAGGAACCTGACCTTCAAGGAGCTCAAAGCCATCACAGTGTACCGGGTAGGAGCTCCAAGCCGACACGAGCCCGTGGACGGGTGTATAAACTAAACATGACTCACAGGACGTGCAGGTTATACGCTAGTATATACGCTAGTTTGTGCGAGATGAGTCCGACCCATAGAGACACAACAGACACATGAATGGGAAATAATCGGCACCACAGATACGTAGCTCAGGTAACCTGTCAGCTGTCAGCCATTTAAACCGTCTTTGTGACATTTGGTCAAACTTTCCAGAACAGGTTTCACATGTTGACCAACTCTCCTGAAGTGTTTCCTCATAACTTCCTCCAAACAGCTGGTGTTTAGGTACAACCCAGAAGGAGGCTTCCAGGAAGGTCAGACCCAGTTCAATACAAAGACCAGAAGACCACAACGAAACTGAACTTTATTTAGTTTTCAGGCTGTTATCGGAAACGTTTGCCATCAGAATGGAGATGTTTTCTTGTTCTTACAAGCTCATTTTTACTTTACTGTGAGGTACCAGTTATTACAGGAAACCTTCCTTATTTATAACATTCTGTAATTTGACAAAATCAGTGCATCTTGTTGAAAGTATCGTCACAACAAGAGGCCCGGCGAGAAAGATGTTAGAAAAACTCATATTAAAAATGGACTGGAGACTCTGAAGCCACCTGGAAGAAGGTTCTTTGGTCTGAGGAGACCAAAATGGAGCTTGAAAAGCATGAAGCACGGCGGTGGCAGCAACAGGATGTGTCAAAAATTACAAAAAAAATGTCCAAATGCCCTAAAATATCTCCAAAATGACTCCAAAAACAGTACAACATGACAAATATATGTCCAGAATTAACTCAAATAAAACTAAAAACTAAAATGTCTCTGAGATGATGAAAAAAATCTCAAAAATACATCATATTCATCCAAAGCAAAATATTTACAAAATGACAAAAACAAAGTAAAAAAAATGAAATGAAATCTGTCTAGAATGACTCCAACATCTAAAACGGGTCCAGAACTGTCAGAAACGGTCCACAGTTAGTGGAAGCTGGTTCAGAACGGTTCAGAAACTCTTAAGGTGTGTTCTTCCTCCTAAATGTCAAGTTTCTATCTGCTGCACCAATGAAGGTCTGAGGCTCAGAAATGATGGAGATGTTCTGTTCTCTGACCTCCTTCAGTACCGACTGGAGACCTACACCGAGACCAGAACCAGCGCCTGGCAGTTTGAGCCCTACAACGGTAAAACTTCACGTTCTGTTCTGATGAGATGATTGTGCAGAAACAAAGCCGTCAGTTCCTCTTCAGGCTGCTGGACGTGATGGACGAAGACGCCTCTCATGTGCTCGGGTCACGTCACAAACTGCTCTCAGACCGTTCAGCGGCTGAGAAACGCTCGTTGTGCTTCTTGCACAATGACATGAAAGGTTGTGATTGAGAATAAGAGCTGCTTTCAGTTAAATTTGACATGCTGGGAGTCGCCAAACTGGGCCGCCAACAGCTGAGGCTCATGGGAGCGCCGCGGGTCCTGCAGGGTTCTGGTTGTAAATTGAACTATTGATCCGAAAGTGTTGCGTCACAGTTAAACTCAGCGGCTCTGACCCCGTTCACAGTTCATCGTTTGTGGTTTTTCCAGGTCAGCCGGTGGACGGGCCTCAGTACGGCGCCAGTCCTCCTCCGTGGGCCATCCAGGTGACGCTGCCCCAGAGATACGCCGACCAGGTGGAGAAGGTCCGAGTGCCGCACTCGTCCTTCGTCAAGGTGCTTCTTCATCTGTCATCCTCCTCCTGCTGTCTGTCCGTCACGTGTTCGTTTCATCTCAGATCATCAGATTTACACATCGGCTTAGCTCGGTGGATCAGGCTCAGCTCGGTGGGTCAGGCTCAGCTCGGTGGGTCAGGCTCAGTTCACTGGGTCAGGCTCAGCTCGGTGGGTCAGGCTCAGGCTCAGGGTCGTCTTCTGGTTCTGAAACAGACATTTTGAGCTTAAATACCAACTTCTTCATCATTTTTCACCCCAATGGAAAATTTCAGTAAATCTCTGTCACAGATTAAAGTCAGAGATGATCCAGCCGATGGTCTGAGATGGACGAACGCTTTAGGATCTGTTTCTTTTTATTTCATTCTGCTTTGATCCGTTTCTGTGTGACAGAACCAACACTCGGGCTGATAACAGAATCTCTGTTTCAGTTGTGTCACAAGTGCAACGGCTGCGGAAACACTCGCTGCAACTCCTGCTTCGGTCGAGGACAGGTGAGGCGACGCAGAGCTTTCATTACACCGTCCACACAAAGTGTTGAGTTGAGCTGCGTCTTGCTGATAATGATCAGAAAGCCAGTCCCTGAATGCATCGTGCTGCTCACTTCCTGGAGATCGAGGCGATCGTAACCCGGGTCGTCGTGACGCCGTCGCCGTTTCCTGGTCGACTCAAACCTTGGTCTTGTTTTGCAGAAGCGCTGCACCTTCTGCCACGGTCACGGCCGGTCCAGGAACAAACGCTGCACCTCGTGTCACGGCCGAGGACGCAAGAGGTGGGAGTCCAGTTCGACAGATCGCTGTTGATTTATGTGTTGAACCTGGAACCACAGGGCATGAATAAATCCGAGCACAACACAGGAAGCTGTATAAATGTTAGTACAGCCTTTTGGTCCACTGCGAGGCCGAGCAGACTAACTACAGCAAACAAAAGATTAAACGTACCGAGAACACATCGATAAGGCACATTTATAGAAGGTAGAAACTAAACAGGATATCCAGACAGCTGTCAGAAAGACACGACTTTGTAGACGAGCTTCCCATTAAATATCCAACCAACGTCTCACCACAAACCTCAGCTGAAGCCTGGTGTCTCAGGCAGACAGCCAACCACCAGATGACTCCGGTGTTAGTTTATCGAAGCTGATCCACAGAAAACACCGTCTGATTCTGGCTTCACTTCCTCCTTCATCTTGTTCTTGTTTCCACCTGTCCTCCCTCCTCCAGGTGTTTGTCTTGTCACGGTCGCGGCCACAAGACCTGCTCTGTTTGTCACGGCAGCCAGAACCTGCTGCACTTCATCCTGCTGACGGTCACGTGGTGAGTTCAGGCTCCAGGCGTTCGTTTCAGTTTGTTGAAAATCTCCACTTCTGATGCAGGTCCTCGTTTTTCTGTTTTGCGTTTTTGTGGTTGTCTGCAGGAAGAACAACATCGATAATTTCATTCCTGACCGTCAGCCGGAATTCCCAGACAAGAACTTTGAGAAGGTTTCAGGAGATCCTTTCTTCATCGATGAGAACATGCTGGTAAAGACAGCTTCTTGTCATCCCATNTTTTTTTGATGATTTCTTTTTAGCAAAATCAGGTTCAAGCAAATTCAGACTTGCCCTGAATGTGTTTGGACTAATCTGAACAGGTTCTTCTTCAACATCGTTCCTGCGGTATTTTGAGTTTCCTTCAACTTGGATGCACTCGGTTAAGTGTCTGCATGGAAGAAGGTGATGCTCCTCAGCAGCATGACCTCATCATCCATCTGAACATGGACCGCCGTGTGGTCCTACAGCAGCAGCCGCCTTCAGGCTACCGTCTCCTTCATCCTGTGATTTTAGGAGTGGGAGCTACGCCCTTCTCTCCTGGTCGTATCTGGAGCCGGACGGCAGCTTCAGATGGTTTTGATGCCTTCACCTTGTTATTGTGTTGCAGCTGCTCATCAAGAGGAGGCATCGAAGGACTTATCCTAAGATTATTAACGAGCAAATCCACCTGATGAATGTTGTGTAGATCCTCCAGACAGCTCAGACCAACTCTGGTTCCTGTCAGTAGCTTGATTCATCAGGCAGAAGGTGAACAGTCGGGTCTGGAAGCAAGAAAATGTGAGAGACTTTGACATTGGATCATGTTGTAGATATTATCCTCGTCTTCTCGGTGTCGTGTCTTCGTTTGCTGCCCAGTGACGTGATATTAAGTCACAATCCAGGCGTCTGTTATCAAACCAACACACTTCTCGTCCCGTCGGTGAGCGACCAGCCTCAGGTAGAAGAACCCAAGTTATGACCGCAAAGTGTTCACAAAGAGGAAAGGTCACTGAAAAACTGGAAAAACAGGAAAAGACTCTGATGGGACGCCTGCTTGATGATCAGGTGTGTTAATGTGTGACTGCTGAACCTCTCAGACTCACTCATGGCTGGTTATCAGAGGACCAACACAAGGATCTGCTGACGCTTTAATCCTTCTGGAGGCGTGCTGTGTTTACTTTACTGACACTGAATCACTCAGCCGAAGGCGTGAGGAGCCTGAAGATTGTCCAATATGGGGCTGGTTCCTCTGGTTTGTTCCAACCTGCAATGAACCACAGCAGAGAAAGAACTGTTCAAACAAACTCTGAGCTGCTGACACTCTGGATTTACCTTAAATGTCAGACGAAGCTGTTTTTTTCACGAGTACCAGTTTGGTGTCGTGCTGATCCCGTAGAAAACTGAACGAGCTCATGTCCAGGCTGGAGGAGCAATAAAACACATAAAACAGCTTAATGTCATGAGAATACAGCAACATTAAAAAGTGTTCACACCCTCTGGACCTTGTCCCATTTCTACAAAGAGCCAGGAAATCCTCGGATTTGTTGGGTTTTCTTGTATATTATTGTCGTGTCACTACAAATTCATCAGGTTAATGTACATAACCAGAGATTCTGTGGCCTCAAACTTAAATTAGTTTGGTTATTTTATATAATTTCTGCAGGGTTTTAATGTGATGTGAAGCGCGGCGGTGGCAGCATCATGACGCGAAGCATGGTGGTGGCGGCATCATGACGTGAAGCGCGGCGGTGGCGGCATCATGACGCGAAGCGCGGTGGTGGCGGCGTCATGACGTGAAGCATGGCGGTGGCAGCATCATGACGTGAAGCGCGGCGGTGGCAGCATCATGACGTGAAGCACGGCGGTGGCAGCATCATGACGTGAAGCGCGGCGGTGGCGGCATCATGACGCGAAGCGCGGCGGTGGCGGCGTCATGACGTGAAGCATGGCGGTGGCGGCGTCATGACGCGAAGCGCGGTGGTGGCGGCGTCATGACGTGAAGCATGGTGGTGGCGGCGTCATGACGTGAAGCGCGGCGGTGGTGACGTCATGACGTGAAGCGCGGCGGTGGCGGCGTCATGACGTGAAGCGCGGCGGTGGCGGCGTCATGACGTCATGTTTATGTCACATGTTTGGGTTACTGATTAGTTAGAATTTGTATTTGTGTAATTTGACATTTGTTTTAGTGTAACTTTGCTTTGTTGTTGTTGTTGTTGTGGACTGACTGGACTCTATAGTTGTATCTCAGCTGATCAGAGACTGTTACAGACTCTGCTAACCCTCACACTAACAGACCGTCATGTTGTCCTGGAGGCTCTGCTACGCTGGTTAGCTGGTTAGTCAGTAGTTCTAGTTGTACTCAGCTGGTCGTACGTGTTTTATTGATATTCGCTGATTCGTGGGCGACTCTCTGCTCCGACCAGCTTCCTCTGCTGAGGAATGAATCCTCCCTTCCTGAGACACTGACAGAAACATTCCTCAGCAGGTTACGTCATCAGAAAACTTCTGTTGCTCATATTTATTATGTAATGTTTTCATTTATCATTCTGCTTCACCAGAAAGTCCTCCTGTAGATTAACACATGTCCTGTTCAGTGTTGCACTCAGCAGCAGCAACAATCACAGAGAATAGCTGAAAATATGTCAGGAATGTGTTCTGGTGGTCGTGGCTGCAGAGGAAGAAGGAGCTGATGGAACAACTGATGGATTGACTGTAGCAGCAGGTTCTGTGGTGGTGGTTAGAGTACGTAGTGGGACGTCTTTGTGTGTCTCAGCATCATTACAAACACACATTATGGCTGTTTACCGGCTCTAGAATCCGGTTTGTGATGAGAAACGGGCCCATTGTTTGATCGTTGGTTTAAATGATAACGGAACGACACCTAACAAGAAGAAAGGCTGATTTTCTAAGTTAATGGAAGAAAAATGGGTCAGTTGTCTCAGAAAAAAACGTGAAGTGAACCCGTTTTTTCATTGTTGGTTTGAAACAGAAAAACCAAAAACCAGGCTGTGTTTTTTATTTGATAAGTTAAGTTAATGGATAATAGCAGGAATATGGGTCTGCTTTTTAATTTTAATTATTATTTTTTAAATTGTTTTAAAAAAAAANGGTTCATTACTGGTTTTCCTCCTCTACCAGGTCTATCCCATCCAGGGTTTCCCCGATCAGGAGATCTGCGATGTTTCTACAAAAATGATAAACGACCACCTTCTTCGCTTCACCTCCACCAGCCGCATCCTGCAGCAGGTACAAACACAGAGTTATTCACTTAAAAAAGTAGCATGTACAGTAATCAGCTGATGAAAAACATAGATGGGATTTTATTCTTTGCAAACTAAATGTTAGCGTCCCTCGATTGTGATACAGAAAGTTCCAGTTCAGTTTCTTCAGTTGTCTCTTCCCAGGTGTACCTTGGTGACAGAAGCCTTACTGTAGTCCTGGGTCATTCCATATGAAATCAGAGCATCTTCAGATCTATAAGAACACGTGGTAAAGTTTGAAAATGCTGATATTTGGGATTTCTCCATAACTTTGGTAGAGGAGCACCTGTGATGTTTTTCAGAGGAATCTGAGAGGCTGACCGGGGACCCTCTGGTTGACTTCATATGGAATGACCCTCCTGTTTATCTAAGAGTCCAGCATCGAACACTCGTCTGCAGAACCCTCTCAGATGTTCCAGACCCGTCTTGGTTGTGTCGGTTTAAAGGTAGCTGAACGTTGAGTTTTGTTTCCATCCACAGCGTCAGACCATCGAGCTGGTGCCTCTGACTCACGCCTACTACTCCTACAGCGGGAAGGACTACAGCTTCTTTGTCTACGGGACGGAGAACAAAGTGTTCACCCCCAAGTATCCGTCCGCCTGCACTCTGCTGTGAGCCGCCGTGTAGAGCAACCTCCAACCACACAATCGTACCTGAAGCCTCGGTCCTGCTCCCACAAAGCACTCATTCCACCATTATGCCTTATGAGCTCTGTTTTATACCAAAGTGACGTTTGTGAAGGTGGATGTTGAACCTGATCAGTGATGACAAACCAGGAAGTTCCTGTTGGTTGTCTACAGCGCTCCGTATAATCCAGTATAATCAGCTGTGTGTCTGTACTAACACCTCCTCCCAGGTTAAGCATCGGTCCTGTTGGGACTGGAGCTGTTTTAAATCATTAAATAACAGTTATTAGGTAAAAACCCTGCAGTTCATAGCGACGCACAGCTTCAGTTTCTGTCCTCAAACATTCGCTGCATCTTTCCAAAGTCGACGTTCTTGAATCTGAGCATCAGGTGCAAGTAAAAAAAGGTGCCTTAAAAGACCAAAGGAAGCCTTAAAGTTGCCCTTTAAAAGATTTACCAGCTAAAAATAATGTTCTGTAGCACAGGAGGCTAACTGCTGAAGCTACAGGCCTCCAAGTTTACCACCAATGGGAACTGTTTGTTTGTTCAGCAGTCTTTAATTTAAAGCTAATTTCTAATGACTGTAGATTTACAGTATGTATGAATGTTCATATAATGAAGCATATTTTCCATTTTTTAGCCTTAAAGTTGGCTTTAAAACAATAATGAATGTTGTTCTTTAGCACAGGAAGCTAACTGTTGAAGCCAAAGTTTACCACCACCATGTTCCTCAATAATACAATCAGTCGTGTTTAAGTCTAAACGTCATTTTCTAATGACTGTTTATTTACAATATGTTTATTTCTTTTTAAAGTTTGAGCAGGAACCCTATTCTCAAAGCCGATGTTTGCTCGCTGTCAGCTCAGGTCTCCATGGATACGAATCCATCGTCACGTCTTCAGTCTGCAGCTTTTGTTTTGTACTTCTGACTTGTTCTCTGTGTTTTGTTTTGTTTTTTAAAGCATTTTAGCAACTTTCTGTGTAAATGTGGTAGAAAAGAGCAGATACTGAAAGTGAGATTCATCGTCGGTTGTTTTACATTTAAAGCAAAAAAATTATTTTATTTTGCCCAAAATTTGAAGGTGAACACGTGAAAAGTTTGTTTCTGTTCACTGACAGTAGAATATGAACGAGTTAACTCCACGTAGCCGTGATGTCCACCACAGTTTGTAAAGAAAAACAGAAATGAAACAGAAAACACTCCTCGTGCGTTCGCTCAGACTGTTTCCATGAAGAACAACAGGAAGAACCACTTTGTGTTTGGGTTTCATGTAAAGCAGATAACTCTTATTAAATATAGATTATATTATATTCTAGTATATTATTACCTGCAGCTGAAGCAACTGTTCAAAGTGTCTTATTGTTTTTGTATAACACAATAAAAGAAACCTGCCGGATGTAGTCAGTAAATAAAGATGATTCTTATATCTTGACCGTGTCTCCGTGAGGTTTCATGTTTTATGTGCTTTAGCGTCATCGTTTGCAGACTTTGTACTTTTATATTAAAAAACACTGAACATTTTTACAGCGCACATTAAGAAGCAAAGACTCAAAAATAATCATAGGTGTGTTTTATTCTCAGTTACTGTCTCAATAACACGTTTCTCTGTCATGCAGGTGAGTGATGCTGCCAGAAGTTAGAAATAAATCAACATATAATAATAATAATAACAAACACCAGAAAGTGAAGTGACCTGTCATAAATGTAGTTCTCCTCAGATGAGAATTAATTAAAGGTGTAAAAACAGATATTGAACCTACAGAATGAAGCGCTGGTGTCCTGTGCTGGTGAGCTGCCTCCAGCAGGGGGCGCCGCGGCTCCTGCCTCCACAGCATCCTCTGGTGTGTTCACTGACGCCGAGTTCTGTGGGAAAAACAGCCGCTCTGGACGGAGAATCAGTAGTGACACAGCTCAGAGCAGAGTTTAGATAAATGAGACATTTTTATTTTCATTTATTAGTTTTTATTAGTCTCTTTCTGTCAGTTTGCATCTCCTCTCTGTTAGTTCAGTAGGTCCGTTGGTTTTGCATCATCTGACCGGCCTGTCTGGTCTCCTGAGTCTCTCTCTGGTGGTTTGCAGGGATTTATTCGCTCTCCTGCACTCCAGACATGTCGAAGCCGGATTTTCCGAGCAGCTCCTGCACGCATCGCAGCGGCAGCAGCGGAGGAGGAGGTGTGATGATGATGATGATGATGAAGGAGGAGTTCAGGGTCCTGCTTCAGTCGGGTCAGTGCGCGAGGAGCCGTCAGGTGGCACGAAGCTTCTCCTCCGGGTTCTTCTGTTCTTCAGGTTCTTCAGGTTCTGGTTGGACTACAGCAGAAGCTCGGATCCGGACTCAGACAGCCTCTGCTCGGTGAGTTGCGGACTTTGTGGGTGTTTGTGGAGGACTGATGCGCTCAGAGGAGAAGCTCTGGAGCTCAGATGTCGCTGCTTTAAACGCGCTCCTCCGTTTGCTTCCGGTTTGGTTTCAATCATTTCGTTGTTTGATGGTTTGTCTGATGTTTTAAGACAAACTCATCCTGGTGTCTCCTCCCAGGAGCTCTGCTGAGAAGCTCTGAGGCGAGACTCAGGGAGTTCCAGGAGTCCTGGAGTAGATCTGGTGGATTTTCAGGATTCACTGAGTCCATTTGAAAGTTTGTGAGATTTTAGGAGTTTTAATGAAGTTCAAGGAGCTTCCAGGTGGATGTGGAGGACTTCCAGGGATTTCTGTTAGGAAGTTCTGGAGGTCATGGAGACGTTTCTTCCCACTTTGCTGGTGTTTTTATGAGGTCCTGGGAGTTTTAAAGGAGTTCTGATGGTGTTTGAAGACTTCTTGAAGGAGTTTTGAGTTTACCTAATCGCCCCTCGGAGATAAATAAAGGTTTTTTCTGATTCTGATTCTGATTCTGATTTGATGGTCATTGAGAAGTTCTGTCCGTTTCTGCAGGTGTTCTGATTGCATATCAGGAGGTCCTGGGATTTTTAAGTAGCGTTCGGTGTCATTCATGAGGTTCCAGGGATGTTCTGAAGGTTTTGGTGGCTGTTGAGGTGGATCCAGGAGTTCCTTTAGCAGTGTCTGTGGTCATGGAAAAGGTTCCAGGATCCTTGTAGAGGGTGTGATGAGCGTTAAGGAGCTCCAAGGATTCTCTGAAGACGTTTTTGTTGGTTGCTCAGAAGTTTCTTGTCATTTCTGCCGGTGTTTTCATGATCTTTCAGCGATTCTTTTTTTTAAAAAAACATACTTTATTAGTTTTACACCAACAATCACAGAACACAGACAGCACAGAATCCATCAAAATACCAAACTGAAGAGACAGAGAGAGAAAACAAATCAACAACCAACATACATGGGTCAGAATAAAAGCAAAAACAGACAAAGATAAGCAAAGGGTGTGGAGCGTAATCCAATCTACATCAACTACATGCAAAGGGAGCACAGGGCAGGTGGGTGGAAATGACAGAGGGGGGCAACTATGACTTGTTTATGAAGACAAAGTGTGGATTTCCCGTCCAAAGTAAGTTTGAAAGATCATTGGGAAGATCATCTAACAAGGGTTTCCAAATGTCATTAAAAATGTTGTCATGTCCCTTTAATGTAGCGCTGACGTGTTCCATGGGAAAAACTTTACATGTTTCTCTGCAGCTCTATGTGACTGAGGGAGGCCGATGTTGGATCTCCTGGTAGACACTGTCCTGCTCAAAGCAGTAAGTTTCTCATGAATACAAACTGTGTGGTTGATGGAGTGACCTGCTCTGTTGAGACGTCCAACAGAAGCAATACTGGATCTAATTTAACTGTAACGTGAAGAACTGAGCCAAGCTCTGTGCAGTGTTTTTCCAATACCTGAATATGAGGGGACATTGCCACATACAGCGATAAAAGGTTCCTACTTTTTTTTTTTTTTTTTACATTTTCAGCAATTCTTAAAGGAGTTAAAGCATTTTTCTGGTCCTTGAGAAGCTTGCAGGAGTCCTTGAAGGGGCTTTGGTGACCACTGAGAAGTTTCCAAACAGTGCTGCAGGTGTTTCAGTGTGTCTGAGGAGGTCCTGGGATTTACTGAGGAGCTAATGAGGTTCCAGGGATATTTTTAAAGGTTTTTGGTGGCTGTTAAGGTGGGTCCAGGAGTTCTTTGGCAGTGTCTGTGGTCATGGAAAAGCTTCCAGGCTCATCATTAGGACTTCCACTGATGTTCTAAGGAGCTTTTGTGGTTCCTGAGACGCTCCTGCAGGTGTTTTAATGGGATTTCAGGTGATAATGATTCTTGAGTCAATGATTTAAAGCATTTTTTCAGGAGTGGTGTTGGTCATTTGGGAGGTGCTGGTGCTCATCCAGGATCTAAATGAATCCTCGTTGGAGTGCTGGTGGTCAGTGACGAGGTTCCAGGGATTTTTCTGAGGAGTTTTTGTCATCTTAGAGGTTTTTAGAGTCTTAAAGGAGGTCTGGGGATCCTTGTAGGAGTCCTGCTGGTCCTTGAGGAGGATCTGGGGTTGATGTTGAGGCTTCTGCAGAAATCTAAAGCTTCTCATGGAGGTACTGATGGAGAACATGGACATTCCAGATGTTTCTATCTGGGTTTAATGACTGAAGGGGGAGTTTGGTGGTTAAACAACATTTCAGTGAGTTCACTGAGATTTACTGTGATTCATTTTTAAGTTTTGGTGGCAACTGAGGAGGTTTTGAGGGATCATGTGGAGGTTCTGATGATCACTGAGACATTCCTCTGTGGCTTTGCAGGACTTTTGATGGTCTTTAAGAAGTTTTGTGGATGATCTAAGAGTTTCCAGACGCTGCTGGTTGTTGGCCGTCGTCCAGAGCGATGAATTATTAGTGAGTCATTGTAGGAGTTCTGCTCGTCTTTGAGGAGGATCCAGGGTTTGTGTTGAGGTTTCTGCAGAAAGCAGGAGTTCTGATGGGAGTACTGATGATGAGTTTGGACGTTCCAGATGTTTTTATCTGGATTTATGGCTGAAGAAGCTCCAGGGGGTCTTGAAGGAGGTTTAGTGCTCACTGGGAGGATTTTAAAAGTCCTTCTGGGATTCAATATGAAGGAGTTCAGTTTTCTAAATTCGAAGTTTGTTTAACACTGTGAGATGGACGACTGATTCTGTGTTCAGTCAGAACCTGCTGCTGCT